ATTTTTACAATACAGACTACTCTAGAATGAATTATCAAGATTTGTTTGTAGAAAGTTAACTGTTTTATTATTGTTTTGTGTAAGAGTATGGCAGAGAAAATTCTAGAATTATTAAATTTAACAGGCCACTGTTTCTCAAAATTTATGTTAAAGTTTCGTTGTTATTGAAGTAACTCAACTGGAAATGAATGTTTTGATGATAATTATGATAATATCTTTATTACAAAATATCAGATCTTGAACACCCAGTCCTTACCCACCTGTCTTCTATTCTACCCCTTATAGACAATACCAACCAACACAAAATAAAACAATGTTTGTGTTGGGTGTTATAGAAGGTACTCTTCTTCAGAAGCACTGGCCAAGGTTACAAGAAGAGAACATACTTCTTTTACATCAATTATCAGTTTGAGTAATAAAGATTAGATTGAAATGGTACTATAATAAATGTTCTGTGTAATATCATCTTTACAATGTCAAGCAATGATGAAATCGCTGCATTCTGTGAAACACCAAATGTGGCTATTGCAGTCAAGGTATTAAAAACTGTTTGTAAAAAGCTTGACATTGTGAAAATAATGAGTGTAGGTCTGAGTTGGTGACTAATATTGAGAATAAATATATATATGTTATAATTATGAGTGAAATATTTATCTAATTTAGTATTCTGTATAATTATAAATAATTTGATGTTATTATACCATAAACCATAAACTTACAACATTCCATTCGGACATTGGCCTTGATTAGTCAGCTTGCTTGGTTTTAGTTCTGATTGTTTAGTTTTGCTCGGAGCTTGTTTGCGTCTGTTTAATTTTTATAATTATGTCGGTGCCATAAGTTTCCAGTTTTTGGACATGTTCTGCGTTGTTAGCTGATTTAGATAAACCTAATATCAAAACCGATCAACACTCAAGACTTGTGTTTAGTCAGTAACCATATTTCATGTCTGCGTTAACCAACAATTGCGGATATTTCAGACGTTTACCTTGTTAGTTGGTTTATAAATTTTCGTTTTGTCTGTTCATAAAGGTGCCAGCGTACTTTTGTTGTTTGTTTTACATGGATAGATTTTGCCTGTATAAAAACGTGTCAGCATTTCAGAATATTCGTGTGTTTAGTTAGTCGCTTGATAAGTTTTTAACCCTGCCAAGGAAGCATATGTTAAAGATATAGTTGGCTGCACCTTATTTTATTAACAGGTGTAGAATTATTGATGTAAATATTCTACAATTTAAACTGTGACAAATTCTATTATTCGCTTACCCGCTGCCTTTCATAATAATTTATTATCAATCCTATTTGCATATTGATTATAAGTTATGCAAATTCATGCGTGACAATTTTGAAATTAAGAGTTAAATACAGTATAGAAGGTTGAAATTGTTTTCAGAATGACGTGTGGACTTGTTACTTTTGGTCAGATTTTAGCTTGATTGGAGCGGAATTTTAGGGATTTTATTAAAATTGGTTTTTTTATTCTGAATCGAACAATTTGTGAAGGAATTACAGACAGTAGAAGCAAAATAAAATATTGTGGAGGCATTGTTGATAAAATTCTAAGAAGTGACTTTTGGATCAATTCAAACTTCATTAAAACACTTAAACACCAGTTTTATTGTTAACATCTTGATTTTAAACTCTGATATTGAGACAACAATGTTACAAAAAGTAGGACAATGTAAGGTATTCTTTTACAAACTTTCAGCTTTCCACAGAAGATATTTTTCTGAAAATGACAAGACATTGCGTGTAGGATTTTAAAGTTAAAAAGACATTTTTGAAACTTATTAATTAGTCCATGGATTAAAAGTGATCATTAAAAAGTGAATTTGTCAATTGTTGTTGGGAGAATAATTTGTGATATTCTGTTAATTTGAATCAAGAAATAAAATGGCAGATGCCCCTGCTGTTGAGGAAACTGACAATGAAGAGGCAGCACAGGAAAGTAAGTTTAGGCTCTCCCTGAAACTCCAAAATGGAATACATACCTAAATTTGGTAGCTTTGAGGTCTCAAGATGATAAAACCCTGTTTCAATTAATTTCAATTTCATTTCATTTCATCAATTGATTAGCAAACAAGACAACCCTTGTTCAAATCATTTCATTTCATCAATTGATTAGCAAACAAGACAACCCTTGTTCAAATCATTTCATTTCATCAATTGATTGGCAAACAAGACAACCCTTGTTCAAATCATTTCATTTCATCAATTGATTGGCAAACAAGACAAGAGATGTTTACAAACATTACTTGATAAATCTTTTCTGAGATTGAAGTCACAGATGCTATGTTGGTAGCCAAATTTGCAATTTCAGTTAAATTCACCAAAATATTTCACCAATCGGAAGTTGCATTGCACAGGGCTAAAAACTCTTGCTCTTACAACCCTTTCGTCTCGTTTCGTTTCGTTTCGTTTCGTTTCAGGTGAAGTTGTTCACCAACCTGAGAAAGAAATGTTTTCAATCTTTGCCTGTATGAGTCTTGTCTTTCATTCTGTTTCATTTCGTTTCAGGTCAAGTTGTTGACCAACCTGATGAAGAAGATGAGGAAGAAGATGATGAAATTGATGCTGGTGGGGACCAGCCAGATGCCAGTGGGGGTGGTATCATCAAGAAAAAGAAAAAGAAAATGGGAAAAAGAAAAATGAGAAAAACTTTATCTAATAAACCTCAGGATTTTCAGGTTAGTTTAACTTTTTAATTTTTGTCTGGGAGTGACTGCAGAACCACAAAATAATGTCATAATTTTATAACCCTAATACAGATTGAGTACAATCCTGTTGAAACTAAATAAAGTTAAACAGTAGGTAAGGCTTTAAATAATCAAAACAAATTTTTGCATAAAAAAGAGTTAGGTTAGTTAGGTTAGTGAGGTTAGTTAGGTTAGTTAAGTTAGCTCTATTGATTTGAAAATATAGTTGATGATGTTAAATAGTGTTATCTCCCTTCATTAGGATGCTAGTTATCCTCATCTTTATGATAATGGTACTTCTTACATATTTCTGAAAGATACGGTCCATTTTCAGATAAGCGTTCTTAATGAGCCTTGAAATTACTAGTCAACAGCTTGAGATGAGCTCATTGTTTTGGGCAGCAGCGATTTCAGTCAGGTGCTAATGCATAAGGAATGGGTTTTTTTTGCCCAAAATTGTCAAATCAAACTTTGGTTGAATTTGTAACTATTTGTAACTGCTGACTGAGTACTAACGGGATGTTCGACAACTTAAAGGAATCTTAAAGGATATCTGGTCGAATCTGATGAATCATTCGATTTAGTGGACGACCTGAGTGCACGCGCCCATTCTTGAAATCTGAACTCAAGATGGTTTTAGTGTTTTAGTCTGCTGATTGTTCAATCTCTAAAATTTTGGAGAACACATCCCAGGTTATAATTGTATTCAGTTATCTTTTCTTGTTATTGGGCAAAATATATATCTTGTAGCAACTGTTATCATTTGCTCTTTGATTTGTCTGGGATTAAATGGATCCAGACCTCTTATAAATATATTTCTTTCTCCCATGTTTGTCATGGTTTCGTTGCATTGTTGTTTTAAAAGTGTTATTTAAATTTCTGTGCAATTTGTCGAGAACTGGATGAGTTCCTACATGAACCAAAATATAACATTTCTTTTCCCATATTGATTCTTGTTTTGTTTTGTTGTCTGTTCTTCCAATTTGGTATTAAGTGTGCTCTACAGTTTATGAAGATCTACATGGATCTAATATTTCTAATACTGCCAAAATTTTCAAATGGTTTCCAATATTTGTTCTGGTTTTGTTGCTTTGACTGTTTTTCAGTTTGCTCGTCAATTTCTTTTGTGAACGGAAATATGTTGTTGTTTCCCCATATTTGTTTTTACTGTATTGCTTCAACAGTTTTTCTAATTTGTTATTCAGTTTGCATTGTAATTTGTCTGGAAATTCATGAATTCTGAGTTCTTTTCCTAGGAAAATATGCTTTTTTTTCCAAATATATTCTGGTTTTGTTTAGTGGTCTGTTTTTAAATTTATTATTCAGTTTTCTCTGCCCACTGAAAGTATTTTGACGTAATACAGGTTGATATTGATCTGGCAACGCCTACCGTTTATAAAGATTTATGTTCGGTTCAATACAAACTTATATTGAATATTAAAACTGGAAATATAACAATTCAACATACTCTGGCGACAGATGTTTCAAAATTAATCAATTTCTTCATTTTAAATTTGACCTAATTTCTATTTCTG